CCTGTGGGAAGCTGTGCCCAGATCTAGGGGCTGTCCCTGCTGCTGTCACTGGCAGGGAGGCCAAGGAGGGGCTGGTTGGTGACTATTTCTCAGTGGCTGGGGACATGCCAGCTCGGTGGTGGTTCTACTCATGGTGAGGCCTGTGCCTCAGTTTCCCCCAGCAGAGCAAGGAGGGGGCAGTCAACTGGTGGGCAACCAGCTCAACCCCAGCTCACACAGCCCAGGGTCCAGCACTGCCTCGGGGGGCTCACACCAGCCCAGGGGCCAGCACTGGTACAGGAGGCTCACACCAGCCCAGGGTCCAGCACTGGCTCGGGGGGCTCACACCAGCCCAGGGGCCAGCACTGGTACAGGGGGCTCACACCAGCCCAGGGGCCAGCACTGGTACAGGGGGCTCACACCAGCCCAGGGGCTCACTCTGGCACAGGGGGCTCACTCTGGCACGGGGGGCTCACCATGATGGGTTTTCCTCTTGCAGATGCAGAGCAGAGCAGCAGCCCACGGACAGGCATCGGCTCGGACCAGGAGGACAGCAAACCCATCACGCTGGGTGAGCGCAGTGGGCAGGGGACATCGGACACCCCAACCTGTGCCTAGGCTCCCTGGCATGGCACCTGTGACACACAGTCCAGCCCCCGTGCTGCACCTCTGGTGTCCCCCAGCCCCAGCCTGCAGTGAGATGGGCATGGCCTCAGCCTCGTCCCACACCCAGCAGGGTCCCAGTGGGGCCACAGCCCCAGCTGCCGTGGCAGTCCTGTGGTGGGCCTGCAGCCCCCAGCCCTGCCAGCACTGTCAGCCAGAGGGAAATTGAGGCACTGAGCAGGTTCAGGGTGTGTTCAGCARAGGGGACCAGTTGGGGTGGTCTCTTGCTGGAGCAGGGAGTGGAGGCTGAGGAGGGGGACAGGTGGGGATTTAGGGGTGTTGGGGTGCCCTTGAACGTTGCCACAAGGCAGTGTGGGATGGGAGGGTGGTCCTGTCTCCCCCTCATCACTCCCTTCTTTCTCCCTCACAGATTCGACAGACTTCCAGGAAAGCTTCGTCACCTCGGGTGTGTTCAGTGTCACCGAGCTCATCCAGGTGTCCCGAAGTGAGTGTCACTGTGATGCCACAACCCATTCCCCCTGCTGCCTGGGCACGGCAGTGTCCCCACAGCTCCTTATCCCACAGAAGGCTGGGACTTCCCTTCCCTCAGCCCCCCTGACCCCCCTCTCTCCCCGCAGCGCCGGTGGTGACGGGCACGGGGCCAAACTTCTCCCTGGGGGAGCTGCAGGGCCACCTGGCCTACGACCTGAACCCCTCCAGCACCGGCATGAGGAGGACACTGCCCAGCACCTCGTCCAGCGGGTAGGTGCCACCGGGGCTGTGCTGGGGCTGCCAGATCCTGCCACGGGCTGGCACTCACCCATGACAAGCTGAGAGAGCTGGGGGTGCTCACCTGGACAAGAGAAGACTCTGGAGCCCCTTGCAGGGCCTAAAGGGGCTCCAGGAGAGCTGGAGAGGGACTGGGGCCAAGGGCTGGAGGGACAGGACACAGGGAATGGCTTCCCAGTGCCAGAGRGCAGGGATGGATGGGATATTGGGAAGGAATTGTTCCCTGGGAGGGTGGGGAGGCCCTGGCACAGGGTGCCCAGAGCAGCTGTGGCTGCCCCTGGATCCCTGGCAGTGCCCAAGGCCAGGCTGGACATTGGGGCTGGGAGCAGCCTGGGACAGTGGGAGGTGTCCCTGCCATGGCAGGGGTGGCACTGGATGGGCTTTGAGGTCCTTTCYAACCCACACTATTCCGTGATTCTTTGATCCTTTCCTGTCCCCAGGAGCAAACGGCACAAGTCAGGGTCCATGGAGGATGACATCGACACCAGCCCTGGGGGCGAGTACTACACCTCCTCCAACTCCCCCACCAGCAGCAGCCGCAACTGGACAGAAGACATGGAAGGGGGTAGGTGTCCCCTCCACACCAGTGCCCTCCCCCTGCCCCCRGGACACCCATCCTGCTCCCACCGCAGTCAGAGGCCCCTGTGACCATCCCGACAATGCCTGGGCCCCGGTGTCCCTCTGGCTCTCAGGTCATAGGACGCACTGGCTGTGGGGGCTGGAGTGCCACCCTCAAGACACCTAGAGGGGTGCTGCTTTTTTGGGGTCTATGGGGTTGCTGTCGACCCCTCTGATTTAGGCTCAGGCTCTCCATCGGTGCCCAGGTGTGTCTGTGGCACCCCTCCGCTCTGGGCAGGGCTCTGTGGGGTGTTCCTACCGGGCCCCCCCATTTCAGCACGGGCTCTCTCTATAGGGCCAGCTCAGCCTCCAGYTCCCCACAGACTCCCCCAGCCCCACACCAGCATCCCCCAGCCCCACAACACTGCGGACAGCTTTCTGGCAGGATGGTTTTTTTCCCTTTCCTGTCTAGACAGCCCCAATTAGCTGTTCATTAAGAAAAGGAGGGGCTGGGCTAATTAAAGCGATGCCGCAGGGCTGGCACAGCAGCTCCCACGCCCCGAGGTGCAGGCGAAGGAGCTGCTCCTCTTCCTCCTCCTTGGCTCTTCTCCTGCCTCCCCCAGCAGCTCCACAGCAGCCCCCCAGCCTTGCCAGAGCCTGGGGTTCCCCGGCTGGGGGGCTGGAGGCACCGATACTGTCGGAAGGAGGTTTGGGGGACGCAGGTCCGGCCCCAGGATTGTGTCCTGTGTGTGCAGGGAGTGTCCCATCCCACCCCGTGGGGCTGCTGCATGGGGCTCCCGGRGAGGGCACAGCCCCATCCCCAAAGTGGTGCACGGAGGCCGGAGGGAGCCCTGCCAGGGCATCTGTCTCTGCCAGTGGCCTGACCCCGGCTAGGGGTGAGGGCGGCTGCCGGGGGGGCTCAGCCGTGGCGGCAGTGGGGGCTTGGCAATCCTGTACGGGATGTTCTGGGAAATCCTCCTAACACCCGGCTGAGAATGGGCTAAACCCATTAGCGGGCCCGGGCCAAATGGCYGCGGCTAAAGCCACTGCGGCGGAGGATTAACATGCCTGCCAACCCCCCTGCTCAGCCCCGTGCCCCGGGCTGGCCTCGGGGACCCGAGCATCTCCTGCTTCCAGGGGTCTCCGGGGAGGTCACCCCCAGGCTGGCACCTCTCTGTCTCCCCGGGAGCTCCAGCAGCCCCCAGGCCCGTGTCCCAGGGGAGGGGCTGCAGGGTCACAGTGGCACCTGTGAGAGCTCCTGCTCCTGCCCCAGGGTGGGACACACACACAGAGCTGTGTGCCCGCATGCACACGCCTGCAGGAACACACACGTGTGCACATACCTGCATATACACACNGCAGGAACACACACGTGTGCACATACCTGCATATACACACGCACAGAGATGTGTGCCCACATGAACACGCCTGCAGGAACACACACGTGTGCACAGGTGTGCATGTACACACACACAGAGCTGTGTGCCCGCATGCACACACCTGCGTGAACACACACATGTGCACAGTTGTGCATGTACACACACACAGARCTGTGTGCSYRSATGCACACGCCTGCAGGAACACACACGTGTGCACAGGTGTGCATGTACACACACAMAGAACTGTGTGCGCAGATGCACATGCCTGYAGGAACACACACGTGTGCACAGGTGCACATGTACACACCACACAGGGGCACAGCCATGCTGTGCACCCATGCATGCACATTCGTGCCCACATGTGCGCACACACATGCACCCTGTGTGTGTGCACACTTGTACCCTCCAGAGGTGCCCACACATGTGCCCACAGGAGGGTGGGCACATGTACACACACGCATGCTCACTCTCCTGCGGGCACACACATACACATGTGTGTACACTCTTCTGCAGGTACACATGCATTCACACACAAGTGCCCACGCTCCTGTGGGCACATGCACACACACGCATGCCCACTCTCCTGTGGGCACACATACACACACACACACACACGTGTGTACACTCTTCTACAGGCACACACACACACACACACACACACACACACACGTGTGCCCACCCTTCCGCACAAGCACAGGTGTGTGTGAGCACACGCACACACCCACACCACGCCCCCTCCCCAGGCCCACCTGGACCCTGCGGTGCCCCTCACCCCCAGAATGAGCTCCCCAACACTTCAAAGAGCTGGCAGCAGCCGTGGGATTTGGGGTCCCATGGCCTGTCCTGACATTGCACCCCGTTTTCCCCAGGCATCTCCCCCACCGTGAAGAAGACAGAGATGGACAAGTCCCCCTTCAACAGCCCATCGCCCCAGGACTCCTCGCCCCGGCTGAGCAGCTTCACGCAGCACCACCGTCCCGTCATTGCCGTGCACAGTGGTGAGTGTCCTGCCAGGGARACTGAGGCACGGAGCAATTGCTGAGCAGCCAGGGGACTGTGGCAGCCACTAGCTAGTGACACAGGTGTGTGTCCCCTTTTGCTGTCACCTGCAGGTATCGCCCGAAGCCCGCACCCATCGTCTGCGCTGCATTTCCCCACCACCTCCATCCTTCCCCAGACGGCCTCCACCTACTTCCCGCACACGGCCATCCGGTACCCGCCTCATCTCAACCCGCAGGACCCGCTCAAAGATCTCGTCTCACTGGCCTGCGACCCGTCCAACCAGCAGCCCGGACCGGTAAGGACCCAGCCCCGTCCCCGCACCCATCGCTCGCCTCGCCGTGGGCACCGGGGGCCGCTGCCGCCCGTCTGCCCGACGAGAGTCCCCTGCAGCAGCCACTGCCGCCGTCACCTCTGCCGCCGCACGGTGGGGTTGGGTTGTTCCGGTGGTACCGAGGGGCGTTCGCCGGGGCTGCGCTCCGGCCGTGCCGTGCGTCAGTTCGGGAGCGCCTCTGCGCCTGTTCCGTGTCAGCACCGCGCGTCTCCGGCGATGGAGCTGCCGTGGCCCGGCTCGGCACGGGGCTCTGCGTGTGTCGGGGTGCTGGGGCTGAGCTGGGTACCAGATACCAGCAGGGTATCTGCCAGGCCAGGGCTGTGTGACCATCGCCCGGAGCCACCGTCTGCCAGTGTGTGCGGGAGAGTGATGGGCTCGGCGTGCCCCATCCATCTGCAGAGCCCGCCGGTGACCTGTCAGCTCCTCACTGTACCCATGTCCCCAGTGTCCTCACAGAGGTGGCAGAGCCACACTGCGCTGCTGAGAACCTTCCCTTTTTGCAGTACCCTGCACCCCACGCATCCAGCACCTCACAGACAGCATACAGTGCACCCCACAGACATGGGACCTCATGCACCCAGCACCCCACCGACAGCATACAATGCACCCCACAGACATGGGACCCCACGCACCCAGCACCCCACAGACACAGCATACAATGCACCCCACAGACGTGGGACTCCACGCTCCCAGCACCCCACAGACAGCATACAATGCACCCCACAGACATGGGTCCCCACGCACCCAGCATCCCACACCCCATTCACCCAGCACCCCACAGACACAGCATACAATGCACCCCACAGACATGGGACCCCACGCACCCAGCACCCCACAGCCACAATGCACCCCACAGACATGGGACCCATGCTCCCATCGCCAAACAACCTCTGCAACCAGCACCCTGCACATGCAGCACCCAGTGCATGCAGCACCCAAACCATCACCCCATACATCCAGCGTCTCCCACACCACCAGCACCCCATACACACCATGAAGGGCGCCCTTCATACCCAAAGCTGGGGTCTGGGGCTCTTCCTGCTTCCACACCCTCCCGTGCCCCACTCTGTGCTCCCAGATGCTGAGCTTTTGGAGAGCCCCTCTAACCTCTGCCCACCACTTGTCTGTGGCTCCTCACCAGCAAAGCCTGATGCCAGGGTGAGGGCATGGCCATTCTTCCCCTGTACAGGGGCTCWGTGCTGGGCTAATGGATACCGGGTTGGGAGCAGTCCATGGGTGGGTTGGACAGGGAGGACTGGTGCAGGAGTCTTTGGAAGCTCTGGGTGCCTCTACCCCTCTGAGGAGGCCCCCCTGTCACTGCCAGAGGGGTCCAGCGCCCCGGCTCCAGCGTGCGCCGCTGTAGGTTGTGACCCCCGTGGGGCATGGCCTCCACAGCCTCCCAAATCCCTCCTGTCCCGCCATCATATCCTGCCTGCTGCCAATGCCGACCGCTCAGGGCTGCTCTGAGACCCAACAAACTCACGTCCGMAGTGAGGGAACACCCCCTGTCTGTGCTGAGGGTGTCCCTGGGGCTCCCCGGCCATGCTGGTGTGCATGTGCGTCCTAATGGCTTGTGCTGTTTGTTTTTTGTCTGTGTTGTCCCCAGTTAAATGGAAGTGGTCAAGTGAAAGTGCCCAGCCACTACCTGCCCACGCAGATGCTGGCGCCGCCACCTCCCCCTGGCATGCCCCGCTTGGCCGTCTCTCCTGACACCAAATCTACCACGACAACTTCCGAGGGAGGGACGACCTCGCCGACATCACCCAGTAAGCACCCGCGGCGCCCACCCCGCTCCCCGGCCCGGCTGGCCCCCTCCTCTCGCAGCCCCCCAGGGTGTCCCCCCGTCCCGGTGCTGGGGGGATGTTGGCGGAGGTGGCCTCCCCGCAGCCGGGGAGAGGGTGGCAGCTGGCACGCCATGAGTTTGCTGGGTCTCAGGCAGGTCGGAGCGGACAGCGTTTCGGCAGGTGGCTGCTGTGGCCGCTGAGCCAGGGGGTCCCGTGCTGGTCCCATGGACCAACTCGAGCCCCGTGTTCCTCTGAGCAGGAGTGGAGCTGCAGCAGGGCTCCCCAAAGCAGTGTCCTGCCCAGAGCCTCGGTGTGGCCAGTGCTGSGGGAGGCTGTGGCCTCTCCGTGTCCGTAGTCTCACTGTGGTGGTGGCCGTGCTGCTGGGAATGGGGACCAGCTGGCACGTGGGTGGCACTGGGATGAGGGACAGTGTGCTGGTGCGCCATGTGGGCTGCCGTCCTCTTGCTGCCACGAGGGTCCCTGGTGCTGAGGACTCGGATCTCGTCAGGGATGTGGAGCAACACTGGTGCAAGGACTGTGTGCGTGTCCCTCAGAGCCCTTTGCAGGTGGCACCTGGCATCTTCATTAGCACCATGGCTGATGAGCTCTTTGTCCTCTGCTCCACCTCAGGGGCTGTCAGTGCCCCTGGAGGGTTTTGGGGTGCTAGGCCCAGCAGCTCAGACAGGCTGGTCACCCCGGACTGGTGCTGGGTGGAACACTGTGCCGTCGCCACACTCGGTGAGGGAGTTGTTCTGTTCCCATCCTGTGGTACCCATGGGTCATGGTACCCAAGTGGCTGCTGTGTCCCCACACCATCGAGCCCTGCCCAGGGCCACTGTCCCTGGGGAATGGGACATGGCTGATTGCCAGCGGCCTGGCCAGCTGGTRTGGAGGTCCTTTGGCATTGAGGAGCCAAAGCGTGGATGATCTGGAGGGGACAGTATGGRATGGCATGGGGTGGCCTGGCTGATCGCAGCCTTGGGGAGGAACGGGAGAGTGCAAGTTCCTGCAGGCTCAGGGAAGGATGTGTTGGGAGGACACTGGCTGTCCTCAAGGGGTGCAGGTGGCTCCAAGTCCCCCATTCCCCTTGGCAGCACCCTGAGCCCAGGAGCTCAGCAGGGCTGGAGGTCCCACTGCTGGACCCCCCGCTGAGCGATGGAGGTGGCAGCAGGGTGATGTKACCAAATGGATCTGGTGGCTCCCATCATTGTCGCCCCATGGCAGCTCAGCTACGGAAGCTGCAGTGCGGGCACAGCCAGGCACCGTCTGCGCCTGCACCCCTGGCACCTCGCCCCCAGCCCATCATCGCCCTGAAACCGCAGGCGGTACCGTCCGGGGGCTGCACCCCGGGGTGCAGCATCCCTGGGCTCTGCTCGCCTGCCATCAGGTCACAGCCAGGCCTTCCAGCACCAGGTGCCCGGGACCTCCGTCCCAGCAGTGCCAGGGAGAGGGCCGGGCCTGGCCCCGGGGGGGAYGACGGCAGTGCCACCCGCAGCCCCGTTAACGAGCTCTCGTTTGTTCCCCAGCCTACTCTGCACCAGGCACGCCCCCTGCGAACCGTTCCTTCGTGGGATTAGGACCAAGGGATCCTGGGAGTATCTATCAGGCACAGGTGAGAGCGGGGATGCTGCTGGGGGGATCCTCCTGCCCTCATCCCAGGCACCCTCGCCATGGCATCACCGTGGGCATGGCCAGTGCAGGCATCGCCATTGTGGCTGTCACTGATGTGACATTGCTGATGTGGTCGTCCCCACCACGGCATCCCTGCCATGGCATCRCTGCCATGGCATCGCTGCTGAAGGCATTGTCACCATGGCATAACTGCTGTGGGCCTTGCCACCATGGCATCACTGCCAAGACATTGCTGCCATGGCATCACTGCTGAGGGCATTGTCACCATGGGCATCACTGTCATGACATTGCTTCCGTGGACTGCTGTCATGTGTACTGCTCATGTGGGCATTGCTGTTGTGGGCATCACTGCTGTGGACATTGCCACCATGGCATCACTGCCGTGGACATTGCCACTGTGGCATCACTGCCATGGGGCATTGCTGCTGTGGATGTAGCCCCTGTGGCCATTGCTGCCATGGCCATCACTGCTGTGGCATTGCCACCATGTCTGAAGCCACAATGAGTGTCACCATAGCGTGGCATTGCCATGGGCATTGCCACCATCGGCGTGGCCATTGCAGGCATTGCTATTGCGGGCATCCCCGCCACAGCATCACTGCAGTGGCATCACTGCCATGGGCAATGCCACCATGAGCATCATCGCCATGGATGTCACCATTGTGGGGGTATTTCCATGTGCAATTCCACTGTGGACACCATCGGCATGGCATTGTGGCTCTGGCAGTGCCACTGCTGACTTGGCTGCCATGGGCATCACCGCCTTGGCATCGCTGCTGTGGCTCATGGGCATTGCTGCCATGGCATCCTCACCACGGGCACCCAGTGCCTGGGCCTGGGGCACTGCTGGTGGCTCAGGGCCACCATGAGTCGCCCATCGTAGAKGGAGGTCACTGCCATGCTCCAGTTGTGCCCTGTCTGGCACCACCTGCCACCATCCTGCCCAGGTGCTCACAGCCTCCCAAAGGAGGAGTGCCAGGGCCACGTGTCACTCTCTGTGGGCACCAGCTCTTACCCGGCCATGCCCGTGGCCACTCCAGCTGCAGCGGGAGCTTGCATGCGCCTTTTCAGGGCTTTCCATCAGTCCTGGATTCTGGAGCTGGCCCTGGCACTGCAGGCAGTGACACAGTGCCAGATCAGGGGTGGCAGTTCCTGGGTTCACTTGTGACATGAATGGTCTGSCCTCAGTATTCGCTGCAGGGGCAGCTGCAGTGGCTGGCAGGTGACATCGGTGACAGGACAGCGGCATTGGGGTGTGGACAATGCCGTATTGGGGCACCCTGGCTGGGGGGTACTCAGGGCTCAGGGTGCTGTGCTGTGCCGTGGTGTGGGCACTTGGGGGCTGTGAGGGGTGACACGGGCACCTGGGGATGCTGTGCTGTGCCAGGCTGTGAGATTTGGGGACCTTGAGCTGGGACACSCGAGGGTGCTGTGCCGTTCCAGAGGACAAACAATGGGGACCCGGCTCTGATCACAGCCTTCTCTCTGCCTCAGTTTCCCCAGTCCTGCACATGAGGTGGACACCTTAAGGGTGTTGTGTCCCTAAAGAGGAGACCTGGGGCAGCACTGGGAGAGCCTTGGAGGGGCAGGGGGCCAGTCTTTGTCCAGATATGAGGGTCACAGCCACTCACAGTCCCAGGACCCCCAGGGTCCCTGTGCATGGGTGTCCAGTCATGCTCTGGGAGGCTCCCCAGGGCTCAAGGATGCTCTGCCTGGGTAAACTGAGGCACGGGGAAGGAGGTGGTGTCCAGGGAGGGGCAGCTGAGACCTGCCACACTCTGGTCATGTATGGTGGGGCCTGGAAGGGTTAAGGGAAGCGGCGGCCCCGAGCTGTCTCGTTTCCAAAGGAAACCAGACATGAGGTAATCRGGAATGAACTTGAACTTGGGGCTGGGGGGGCAAACAAAGGGAGGGGTGGCAGGGGGCCACCCCACCGGGTCCCCCGGCCGTGCCACCCCTTACCTGTCCCCAGGTGGGACCATTCCTCGGGGAGAGTCGCCTTTGCCGTGGAGGTGCAGAGGGACCGGCCCCCGGGGGAACGCGGGGGTGTGGAGAACGGACAAACTCAGTGCAGGAGTGGGGACACCAACCCCGTGTGCCGAGCAGGGGACAGTGCGGGGACATCTGTCAGGGCGGGGGGACCGGCCGGGGACGGAGCGGCTCCGCGGGGCAGAGCACTAACTGCGGCCTCTCTCTTCTCTCCCGGCAGTCCTGGTACCTGGGATAACCGCCGCCGTGCCGCCCCTTCGCCTCCCTTCTCCTCTGCTTTAGGCACCCCCAGAGGAACATCCCCGTCCCCGAGCACCAGGCCCAGCCTTGCGGTGACGACGGAGAGCGCGGCCTCACGATGACGACGACGACGACAAGCAAAACCCACACCCGAAGGAAAGAGCGAGGAAAAGGAAGAAGGAAAAGGGTCAAACTGTTTAAAAAAGGAAAAAAACAAAAAACAAAACGACAACCCATCCCAGGAGGACCTTTCCCCCCACCCCGGCGATGCGCCACAAAACAAAGAAACAGAAAAAAAAAAAAAAAAAGAAAGAAAAAAACACTATTATTTACCCTGTCGGCCGGCGCCGCGCTGAGACCTGACACAAGTCGTGCCAGCAATGCCTCCCRGAGCGGCTGCAGGGCCGCGGCGCCGAGCCCCGCCGGCCGCTCGCCGGATATGCAAACGGCTTTGACTCTCTCGTTCTTGCCTCTATGTGAGTAGAAAACATCAAAACCTCCCCCGCCGACMCCCCCAGCCCCACGCAGACTCTCGGGGGGCCCCGGGACTGGGGTGGAGTGCGGCGGGGCGGGGTGGGGGAGCCCCTCCTGCCGCTGGAGCCCCGCGGACCGGGCGCACTCGCGGTCGCGGCGGGTGAWGCACCGTGCTGGGCAAGCGCCTCGGGGATGGGTGCTGCAGTGACGCGGTGGCACGGAGACGTGGTGGCACRGTGGCTCCAGCGGGTGGCACAGGAGGAGGGGGCTTGTGGCCACAGAGGGTGCACGGGCACGGCCAGAGATGGTCGCAGCGGCGGTGGCACCTCGGTTCCCACGGGGACGCGGTATCGGGACTCTCCCACCACGGCCCCAAACGTCACAGCAGTGGTGGCACCCTGATTCCAACGGGCACACGGCGTGGGGACTGTCGCAGCCCTGCCCCGATGGTTCCCAGGAGCCACCGTCGCGCTGGGGCACTGGTCACCGTCTCTCTGTTCGCCTTTCTCCCCCGAGCCTGCACCAACCCCGGCCCCGTGTGTTCCCACACGTGTCCCCGTCCCCCGGCGTGTCCCCGCACCCCGGGGCTCTGTGGGGCTGGGGAGGCGTGCGTCCGTGTGTTTGAGCTATGCATTCCTGTGGACAGGTACCAGGTGGGAGGCAGGAGAGGTGCGCTCGTGTTGCACATTTTGTAGGAAATGCACTTTTAAGAGGGAATCGTCAAAAAAAAAAAAAAAAAAAAAAAAAAAAAAAAAAAAAAAAAAAAAAAAAATAAAAAAAAAAAAAAAAAAAAAAAAAAAGAAAGAAAAAGAAGAAAAGAAAACAAAATCACAAAAAAGGAGGAAGAGGAGGCGGAGGAGGAGGTGGAGTCCCTGGCACTGGCTTGCCAGGACGACTCGTTTGGGGTTTTTGGGTTTGTTTTTTTTTTTTTTTTTTTTTTTTTTTGGATACAAAAGGATGGAGCAAAGAAGCCCCGAGGGAGGGCGAGGGCAGAGCCAGCCCCATGGAGCCCCCTGGAGTCCCCCGGAGCCCCCGGCCCCGCGTCAAGTGCCTGAACTGCGGCGGGGAGGGGTTCCAGCCCCCCCGGAGGAGCCCCTGGCCAAGGGCAGCACGGGAGGAAGCGCTCGGCCGTCCCCGTCCCATGCGGTGACAGTGTGGCCGGGAAGGGGACGCAGGGACGTGGCAGTGCCTTAGAGCAGAGGGACCCTCGCGACGGCCGAGGCGAGGAGGAGGAAGAGGACGAAGGTACCCGTTATCCCCAGTGAGATGAGGAGACTGCTCCCCGAAGGATCTCCGGCCCAGGGGACTCCCGAAGGGTGCTGATGGAGAGAAGCCACCGTGGGATGTCCAGGAGTTGGGGATGTCACCGAGGCCACCRCCGCCACCCKCCTGGCCCCCTCCCCTGGCACCCAGAACCGCCCCCAGGACCACCGGCATCGCATCCCCCATCCCAGTGGCCCCCACTTCCCCCCGCTTCCCACCCCCCTGGGACGGCGCAACGAGGCACCGGGGAAAGGGCTGACGCAGGAAATCCCGAGAGACAGAAAAATAATCAAAAAGGACAAGAAAAAAAGAAAACCAACACAAAAAAAAAAAAAAAGAAAAAAAAAAAAAAAAAAAAAAAAAGACAAATAAACTGCATGGTGCTTTAACAGGATCTGGTGACCTGGCTCAACCCAGCCGCGGCTGGCTGATGCTGTGCATGGCAGACTCTATTAACCGGCTCTACCTTCCCCTTCAGCAAAAGAGAAAAAAAAAGAGGAAAAAAAACAAAAAAAAATCTGTATAAAAGAAAAAAAAAAGCCGTAAAAAAAAACACACAAGAAAAAAAAATCCATGTTTTCCTAATTTGCACGAAATTTTATACCACATGATGTGCCTTGCCTTCGAAGCCTAAGTATTACTGGACCCGATATCAGTGCGAGGGAGTCGCTGCATGCCCGGGGCTCCCGGGGGGCCGGGGGGGCCGGGGGCCGCCGCCCCCCCCTCGCCTCCTGCATGGCTTCTTCTCGGCCGGAAAAGTCCCTTTTTCTCTCTATTCTTCTTCTTTTTTAACCGATTTTCCCCCTCAGAAACGTCTTCCAGTTGGTAATACCGATGCATCCTCTGCGCCAACACACCGGAATATGCAATAGCTGCGGGGGGGGCCGGCCGGGGGGGGCGGCCACCCCTTTGCTTTGCCTCTCTTTTCTTTGTTTTCCTTCCCTTTTGGGGGGTTTTTATTTGTTTTTTTCTGCTTCCAGCAACCAAAGGCAGCGAGGCGGGAGGCGGCAGGGACCCCCGGGCCACGGAACACTCGGGGGGACGCAGTGTCCGGGCGCGGCAGGACAGACGGGGATGTGCTGGGGTCCGTGCGGGGAGGAGCAGGGCTGGAGACCCGCAGGGCTGACCCTTATGGGGGGGCCACAGGGTCCCAACCCCCCTCAGAGGACCCCCCGCTTTTTAATTGGTTTTCAATGGGGCGCAGGGCCAGGAGGGCTGAGCCCAGCTGCTCTCGTGACAGGAATGGAACCGTGTGAATGTACTGTGCCCCCCCCGGGCTGGTGTCAGGGAGGGTCACAGACTCCCCCCAACCTCCACCCCATCGGCTTCATCCCCGGGGGTCCGGCAGGCGCAGCAGGGAATGGCAGGAGGTGCCTTCTCGCCGCCTCTCCTTGCTGTGCCCGCTGCCGAGCAGGGGCCCGACACCCCCAAAAACCCCAGAATTTGCCTTAAAACCCCAGCGTTCCGCCGGCCGGAGAGACCCACCCCATCCCCCCAACCTCCCTGAGGCTGAGGACTGACGCGGGTCGTGACACCGGTGGGTCGGTGGCACCGGCATCGCTGCTGCTCGGGCATGAAGAAACGTCGTCGTCAACAGAGGGTTTTTTTGTTTGTTTGTTTGTTTGTTCGTTTGTTTGGGTTTTGTTTTGTTTTGGGGGCTTTTTGTTGTTTTTTTGGGTTTTTTTTTTGTCCAAAAGTATTAGTTAGGGGTGGTSGCGTCCCGCCGGGTTTCGCCCACAGTTGAGGCTGGTTCGAGGGTCCCAGACCCTTGGGAGGAGCCTTGGGAGACGCTTCTTTATGCAAGGTGCAGTATTGATTTCTGCAAGGACAATGCAAGGCGGGAGCGGGGGCGGCGTCCAGCTGCGGGGGAAGGAATGAAAACTAGAATTTTTTTTAAAAAAAAAGAAAAAAAAAAAAAAAAAAAAAAAAAAAAAAAAAAAAAAAATAAAAAAAAAAAAAAAAAAAAAAAAAAAGGGGGGGGGGAGTTTAAGGCTGGAAAAGGCTCAGCTCAAAGCAAAAAATATATTAAAAAAAATAAAAAGCATTTTTCAGCGGTGACAGTGACAGCGGAGGGAGGGAGCGGGGGGCACCTGGGCAGCCCCTTGGGCCAACCCCGGGGAGGTGAGGGGCGCTGGCGCCCCTCGGGCCTGGGCCCCCCCGCCCCGAGGAAGCCCTGGAGCCCCCGTCCCCGCGGGGACACTACCGAGGCCGTCCCCTGCCCCCTTTTTGCTGCCTCCCCACCCCCTAGGCCGGCAGCACGTCCGGCCGGGCTGCGGCCGCAGCCCCCCAAAACCCGCCCTTGGCAAGAAAAGCACCTTAAACCATGTTAAAAAAGGCAAAAAAGAATCAACTCGGCGCCCCCCAGCCCGTAGGGGGGCAGCGGGGGGGCCGGGCCGGGGGCTTCCCCTTGGGGGACCGGGGAGCCCCCYGCGCCCCCGGGGTCTTTGCACTGCTCCCCCGACATCCCCCCGGGGCCGCACCCCCGGCTCAGCCCAAAGGGAATATGCAACACCTCCCCACTCCCTCCCCGGCAGGGGCACCACTCATTTTTATTATTTCTATTTTTTTAATCATTCTCCTTTTTTTTTTTTTTTTTTTATTTTTTTTTTATCCTCTGGCGGCCTCGATGGCCACGGTCGGGGTGAGAGCAAAGCCAGGGTGGGGGGGACACCCCATCCCTGCGGATGCTCCGGGGGGTCCTCCGCAGGATGGGGATATGAGGGGCTCCGCTCGACAATCACCGCAGGGGTTTCATGCACTACAGTCTCTCCTAGAGGGTTTTTAGTCGGGCTCGTCGGCTTAAAAAAGTTAATTAAAAATAGTCCTTGTGATCTATAAATAAAACAAATAACCTGTACATATATATATATATATATATATCTCCACATATATATATATGGGGCTGCAGGGCTGGGGGGGGCGCGGGCCCGTGGGCCCACACACAGTTAAGGTACTTCAACGCAAAGGAATATATATATATATATAATCCCCTATATATATATATATAT